ATCGGTTCAGATTTAGATATAGCTGCTATATATAAATAGTCCACTAAAGTTCCTTATATATCTTTCGATTTGTACGAAATTTGGCACAACGTAATGAATAAGGTCTAGAATGATGTATGTTATGTTTCGTGAAAATCGGTTCAGTTTTAGATATAGCTCCCATATATATCTTCGTCCGATTTAAGGTAAATGGTGTACCAAAGTCCCTATATATCTTTCGATTGGCAAGAAATTTGGCACAGCGTACTGAATTAAGTATAGAATGATTTGTGCAAAGATTCGTGAAAATCGGTTCAGATTTAGATATAGCTTCCATATATACTTTCGCCTGATTTTAGGTAAATAGTCCACTAAAGTCCCTATATATATTTCGCTTTGCACGAAATTTGGCACAGCGTAATGAATAAGGTTTTGAATTGTGTGTGTGTTAAGTTTCATGAAAATCGGTTCAGATTTAGATATAGTTCCCATATATATCTTCGTCCGATTTAAGGTAAATTGGGTTCCAAAGTTCCTACATATCTTTCGATTTGCACGAAATTTGGCATAGCGTACTGAAAAAAGTATAGAATGATATGTGCAAAGTTTCGTGAAAATCGGTTCAGATTTAGATATAGCTTCCATATATGTTTTCATCCGATTTCATGTAATTGGTGCATAAAATGCCCTATATATCTTTCGATTTGCACGAATTTTGGTATAGGGTACTGAATTAAGTCTAGAATGATGTTGCTAAGCTTCGTGAAAAGATCCATAACTATGCCGATTGTTACATCGTACTGTGGCAAGTTTCCCTGAAATCGGTTTAGATATAGATATATAACAAACATGCGACTTCTGTTAGGATACATATGTGGAATATACCCAAAGTGGTGAAGGGTATCTTTCCTTTCCTTACTGGTTTAAGAATATTTTTTAAAGGACTAATAAACGCCTTAATTTTTTATGGACCAATAAACGCATTAAAAGCGTGAACAAATATATTTAGTAAAGGACCAATATATGCGTGGCTAATTAGGCTATATACACTTTGATACGGGAAAAATGTGTCTGATCGAAATATTGGTTTCAGACTCCATGTTGTTGGGGCAAATCCGTTTCAGACAATTTGGAGTCGATTTACAAATGTCCGCAAGTGTGTCTTTCGGGCAGTATAATCGGCTGGTGCGCACAAATAACTCTCAAAGGGAGAACCGATTTCATTCAAACTTTGCAAATGGTAATATTCCTTCCAAACTTAGTTCAAGTTCCAAGATGGGGTATATCGGTCCACCCCTTCTGGTACCTCCCCCACAAAATGGTCAAAATTGTGCAACAATTAATGTTAATATCATGCTAAGGATCTATACGATTTCAACCAAAACTTTGTACAACTTATTATCTTTTCCAAGCCTAGATAAAGTCCGAAGATGGGACCCATTCCCTCTGGTTCTTAATATAATCCAATATCAGGTAAATGGAATGTCCAATTTGAACACAACCTTGATCAAGTGCGAAAATGGGACCCGTCGGTTATCTCTTACTGGTACCTCCCCTACAAAAAAGGGTCCATATTATGTAAACTTGTAAATTTAATTTAAAGCGAATTTAATACCTAATCGACGTTAAATCCAAAACCTTTGTGATAAAAAAGATATACCTTATATGAAGCGAATAATAAAACCTGTTATTTCGAAGACCTCCTCAAACCATATATATCTGTCGCCAACACCGATTTTGTAAAGGGCCAACAGAAGCTTCGTTAAAAAAATATTTTGTAATGGGCGTGTGAGCGAAGCAATATTGTCGGACGGCGTCGACCATATGATACCCTACACAACTACCAATGAACTCTAACTTTCTGCGGATCAATTAGTAGCCAAGGCTATATTTGCACCCTCTTGACCGTTTAGATGTCAATTTTGTTAATTTGCGCATATTCCCTTTAACCGTGTAAAATGTGTGATGTTCTACTTATATTAGGGGTCTCTGGAGTGACTAAATAACCCGAAAAAATACATTTTTGTTTCATTTCATCCCCGAAATATCATCTGAAGATCTTTTAAAATTATAGGAAGTCCTTGGTCATAACCGGAATTTCATGTCATATTTATACCCTACACAACTATGTTGTCAGGGTATTATAGCTTTGTGCAGCCCCAAAAGTTTGTAACGCCGCGAATTATTGGTCCTAGACCCACCTTTAAGTATACCGATCGTCATATCTCGACTAGCTGAGTCGATCTAGACATGTGTGTCCGTCCGCCCGTCCGTCTGTCCATTATAATTTGTAAACACGATACAGGCCACATTTATGGACCAATCTTCACGAAATTTTGCATGTAGGATGGGTTCTGGCCAATGAAGATCCCTATTGTTTTTGTAAAGATCGGTTAATATTTAGGGGATGAAATGGACCAAATACTAAATTTTTTTCGGTTTTTCTGGTCGCTCCAGAGGCCGCAGTTATGGTCCGAACATCGTGAAATTTTACATGGTTAAGGGGATCGGGCCTAAGAATAAGCATGCCAAATGGACCCTGACTTTTGTGTGAAAAATGACAAAATTTTTATTCTGGGGCTTATATACTTGCTCCTGAAGGACATATACCCGAGAAGTTGATAGCATATCCAAGAGGAGTTGTTGACCTTCAAATTGATACCAATTATATGGTTGTATGTACACCGATGCGGGAGTTATACGTAATTAAGTAAAGGTGACTATGTGCATATTATTACTATTACTCCATTAGAGGACGGAAATGTCGCGCTGATCGCTTTGAAATTGTACATGAAGTTCCGATTATGGTCAAGGACGACGTTTATAGTTTTCGGTGAAGTTGAGATTTCATTCAGGGGGTGCAATGAATCGAAAACTTTAATTTTCTCAGATTTTCTAGTCGCTCTAGAGGCAATTATTATATGCAGAACATGACATATTTTACAAGGTGAAGGGGATCTGATCATATACTTAGAGCGGGTCAAATCAACCAAAACCTAAAGTGACCATTTTTTTATTTTATGGCTTAAACATTCACTTCAAGAAAAACATTTTGGAAAATATGCAAGACTTAGAAAGAGGAGTTGTTGATCTATAATCGGTAAAAATGGTGCAAATATTACGAAATATTGCCCAGGCACAGAATATAGAACCGCCGAAAGTGTGCTTTTCGTGGTAGTTGTGTAGGGTATCATATGGTCGGCCCCGTCCGACTATACTGCTCCGCTCACTGGTTCAAAGCTATCAGCGCCCGGTTTCCGCCCTCTAGTGAGGTATTGATAATACTAAACAGTATCAGAATTGAAAATATCGACGTATAACTTCCACATATGAGCTCATACAATAACATAATTGTCATCCAGTCTATGTCCTTTCTATATTCCGAGTAAAATTTCGTGATGTTCGGCTCGTAATTGTGGCCACTAAAGATATATCTAGGACCAATATTTCGCGGCGTTACAAATTCTAGTGTATACAAATATCGGTCATAACACAGAATGTAAAAAAATCGATCTAACTGAACTTAATGTTTTTATACCCTTTACCACACTGTGGTACAGGTTCCATGGTTCCTTTTGAGAATGTGCATAGAATCACTTTTTATCGTCGATTTATGCATGTCCGTCCGTCTGTCCATGTTAAATTGTAAACAAAGTACAGGTCGCATTTATGATCCGAATTGGATGAAAGTTGGCATAGGTCACTTATTTGGCCCAAGGATGAACCCTATTGAAATTGGGAAAAATCGGTTCAGATTTAGATATAGCTTCCATATATATTTTCGTCCGATTTAATGTAAATGGTGCATCAATGTCCCTATATATCATTCGATTTGAACGAAATGTGGCATAGCGTACTGAATTGAGTCTAGAATGATGTGTGCAAAGTTTAGTGAAAATTGGTTAAAATTTAGATATAGCTCCCATATATATTTTCGTCCGATTTTATGTAAATGATGCACCGATGTCCATATATATCGTTCGATTAGCACGAATTTGGTTGGATATAAAACATCCAAGCCTTCCATCCGATACGGCTTTATGTAGACATTTAGGATTTTCAGAGGATCAATGTCCTTTTGACATACAAGGGTCCTGCTCTATTTCAGGCATTATAATAGTGCTATTATATGAATTTTCCAACCTAGATGTCTATAATTAGATATTTCGTATTTCAGAGGTTAAAAATAATCAATTTTAGATATTTTGTATACTACCCTCATGTTGAAGGATACAAAATGTCAACGACTTTCTTAATTGTCTTTTTTATATAAAAATATTTTCTTTACTATTCTCATTATAAACTCCATATAATCATAATTTGTCCCAATAAAACTGAAATGATTATATAAACTTATATATTTTTTTTTATTTAAAAAAATTTATTATTTTATTTTACAATTGTAACAACACGTTCATGTGTTACAATAAAAATATCAACAATTATTTTTTTTACATTTTTGTTGTTTTATAAAATAAGTATATAATACGTTTTGTTTATTGTTTTGTGTAAAATTAACTCTTAATATGTCTTTTAGGTTGACAATAAAAGCCTCATTAAACACATTAAGAGTAAATGACTAATTTGTACAAAAGAACTTATGCTAGAGCAAAAAAATAGTATAACAATGTTTTTTTAACAAAAAATAAAAAAATGCTAAATAAAAATATGATGGAAACTGAAAAAGTAGAAAAATCAAATAAAAATTTATAGAAAAAAGAATAGAAAAAGAAATTTGAAATTTAATTTTTTCAAATGGCAGAAAAAGTTTATGGAGGGAGAGAAAGATAGTGTGTGGGAGACACAAAATGAGTATAATAACTTAAATAATAATTTATAAACACTGATGAGAGAGACGAGAGTTTAAGAAACATAAATGATTTCAGTACTGTGGCATCCAAACTTTACTTTGTCCACGGGCTCGTAACCTTGGAGTTGACGGGAACCGGCTTTAGTAAAAAAATCTGATGATTTGTCTTACTTAACTATTCTACCTAGATAGATGGTGATGCTGATGAAGATGAGGTGGTGCAAAGGGTGGATGGATTTAATCCCAACCATGTTCATGGTGTGGTGTGGGCACCCACACTTTTTCCCAAACTGGCTTCCACACCTTCTTCCATTCTTGCACTTTGACCTCCTTCCAGACGGGCACTTGCACTGCCTTCCATTCATCCTTCCAGGCCTGTTTCTTCTCGGTGGCCCAGACTTGTTTCTTTTCGGTACGCCAAATTTGTACTTTCTCCTCGACCCATGTTTCACGCTTCTCCTTAATCCAAATTTGTTTCTTTACCGGCTTCCAAACTTGAATCCATTCAACTTTCCATTCGAGTTTTTTGTCGGTCTTCCATTCCTGTTTCTTTTCCGTTTTCCATTCTTGCACTTTTTCTGTTTTCCATTCTTGTTTCTTTTCGATTTTCCATTCTTGGACTTTTTCGGTTTTCCATTCTTGTTTCTTTTCGGTTTTCCATTCTTGCTTCTTTTCGGTACGCCAAACCTTTTTCCAGACAGGTTTCCATATCAGCTTCTTGCGCCACAAATCGTGACTGGTGTATTCCCAACCTTCGTGATCTTTGCCGAGGTATTTTTCACCGGGTATGCCCATCTTGACCCATTCGGGTACAAACATTTTCTTCCAATCAGGTACTTGTACTTCTTTCCAAACGGGCACTTGGATTTCCTTCCAAACGGGTACTTGGATTTCTTTCCAAACGGGCACTTTTATTTCACGCCAGACGGGTACTTGAATTTCTTTCCAGACGGGAACTTGGATCTCCTTCCACACGGGAACTTGTACTTCTTTCCAAATGGGTTTGGTGATTTTCTTCCATTCGGGTACTTTAACTTCTTTCCATGCGGGAACTTCACGTTCTTCGATATGGGGTTTTTTCACAATTTTCCAATCGGGTACTTGTTCTTCTTTCCAGACGGGTACTTTGACCTCTTTCCAAATGGGTACTTGTACCTTTTTCCATTTGGTTTCCCAGGCTTCTTTTTTGACCGTCTTCCAAACTTGTACCCAATCTTCTTTCCATGTGAGTTTCTTTTTCCAGACACCCTCTGGCGGATGGGCAAAGGCGAAGCTGACAATGAGAGCACAGCTGGCACCCAAGAGCTGTAAATGGAGATTTTGAGAGTGAGGGAGAAAGAAATAGGGAGAATTATTAGAAATGGAATAAATAATATGTAATAGTTACAAAAATTAAATAAAAATATTTTTTATAGATTTTTTTATTTTTTTTCTTTTTTTATTTTTTTCAACCGATCAATTGAGTCGTGTTTTTTAAGCACCAAGGAAAGCATGATTTTATGTAAAGAACTATCAGTATCGAGGATTTTAAAGGACTATTATCAGTCTGAATTTTAAGAGGACTGACAGAAGATTGAATTTTTAGAGAATTTATTTATTTTGGGCAATTTTTTAGAAGCTTGATTTTTTATAAATATATTTGTCAGTTATAATCTTAATTTTCCATGAATCTAATTTTGACATAAATTATTCACATAAAACCAGTAAGGAAAGTAGTAAAGTCGAACTGGGCCGACTATATGATACCCTTCACCACTTTGGGTATATTTTACATATGTATCCTAACAGACGACGCGTTTTGTTATAAATATATATCTGAACCGATTTCAGGGAAACTTTCCAGAGACTAATTTATATAACATCAGTACGATGTGTCAATCGGCCTAGCAATGGATCTTTTCACGAAGCTCAGCAACATCATTCTTGACTTACTTCAGTACCTTATACCAAAATCCGTGCAAATCAAAAGATATATAGGGTCTTTGGTGCACCAATTACCTTAAATCGGATGATAATACATATGAGAGCTACATCTAAATCTGAACCGATTTTCGCGAAACTTTGCTCACATCATTCATGACCTTATTTATTACGCTGTGCCAAATTTCATGCAAATCGAAAAATATATAGGGACTTTGGTGCACCATTTACCTTAAATCGGACGAAAGTATATATGGGAGCTATATCTAAATCTGAACCGATTTTCCCCAATTTCAATAGGGTTCGTCCGTGGGCCAAACAAATGAGCTGTGACAAATTTCATCCAATTCGGATCATAAATGCGACCTGTACTTTGTTTACAATTTAACATGGACAGACGGACGGACGGGCATGCATAAATCGACTTAGAAAGTGATTCTATGCATATTCTCAAAAGGAACCATGGGTGTATCTCGATTATTTTTGCCTGTTACAAACATACGTACAAAGACATAATACCCTGTACCACAGTGTGGCGAAGGGTATAACAAACCAACATATACATATATGTAGGTATTATTTACAGCACGTGTTTTGATTTATCCAGATGTCATTAATTATAATTTGTAATTTTCATTTAATTAATTTAAAAAAAAGAGCTCATAAGTTTTTTTTGACATTGAAATTTACAATACAACAATTTGTTATGTCGTTAAATAATTAAATTAGTCTCTAATTTAAGTTGTCTTAAAAAAAAGCTTCGAATTTTTATTGTACTTATGTTAACACCAAGCTGGCTTGAAGACATTCATTAAACCTGTGCCTTTGTTGATAATTAGCGTATCAAATTAAATTGTTTTTGTTGCTGCTAGTTTTTAATTTGTTTTTAATGAATGACAATAGTGTAATTTTAATCGATTTTATTGTGCATTTTTAGCTTTTTGAATATTTTGAAGACAACAAAACAACTACAAGACTACATAAAATCGAACACATATTATTGAGTGTTTTATAACTCATAAATATTTAACGACATTCAAATAAAACCGTAGGGTATTTAAAATTAAGTCATAAATCTATTTAGCTACTGTTTAATATATTTTTTTATTTGAAATAATTTATGCAATGTTATAATTATCAAATAATATGCTAATGTGATAAATTGTTTTTGCTTTTCACATTTCGAAGGGAATGGTAGAAAACGCTATGATGTTATATTTTTTTAGGGCATTGAAAAAATAAAAATTAATATGGTACGAATAAGTAATAATTATTAAACAGCCTACCGTAGAACTAAAATATCTTCAAACCAGATTTTGATATTTGGGGCGATCAGAACCGTGAATTTTTTACATAATTTTTTTTAATGGACCAACAGAATCGTGGACCAGCAGAGTTGTGTTTTGTTTTAAGGAACAATAGAACCCTGTATTTTTTTTAATTTTTAAGGCATATAAGACCGGGAAAAAGGTGGAGTTTTTGAAGTATTTTTGTTAAAGAATAATTTTTAAATGCCAACGAAGGCGTAGATTTTTAAAAAATATTTTTTTACAGGGCCAATAGAGGTTGGATTTTTTAAGGACCAACAGAGGTGTGAATTTCTTAGTATACATTTTAAAGGACCATCAAAAACGTGGATTTTTTAATCGTTTGTTTTTTTTTTAAAGAGCCAAAAAAGGCATGGATTTTAAAGAATATATTTTTAAAGGACAAACTGAAACGTGCATTTTTAAAAAAATATTTTTCAAAGGACTAAAAGTAACGTGGTTTTTTAACGGACAAACAGCAACGTGGATTTTTTAAAGAATATTTTTAAAGGATCAACAAGGGCGTGGATTTTATAAAGAATATCTCTTTAGGGTCGTTTAATGAAATATTCTTTAACAAAATCCACTCTAATTTTTTATTCTCTAAATAATTTTTAAATGCGGGTTTTAAATTTTTTAAGTCTTAAAAGAGGATAATATTTGTAATTTTTTAAAGTTAAAAGAGAGAGAATATTTCTTAAAAAAATATTTTTTAACGAAGGACCAACAAAAGCGTAAATTTTTTTAAAGCCAAAAGAGAAGTAGATTTTTTAAAGAATTTTTGTTTAAAAGGCCATAATTTTTAAAAAATATTTTCAAAAGACTACATTTTTTTTAAGTCTTAAAAGAGATTAATATTTTTTAAAGGAATAACAGAGGGGTGTTTTCTTATTTTTTAAGTCTTATATATAGTTTTTAATCAATATTTTTTAAATGTCTAACAGAGGTGTAGTTTTTTTAAAGTCTATTTTTTAAAGGACCAACAGAGGCGTGGTTTTTTAAGAATAATTTTTAAAGGACCAACAGACGCGTAGTATTTTTTTTAAAGAGCCAAAAGAGCGTGGATTTTTAAGAATATTTTTTAAATGACTAACAGAGGTCTAGTAATTTTTTTAAAGAGCCAAATTAGGGACTAACAGACGCGTGAGGTTTTAAATAATATTTTTTTAATGACTAACAGAGGTGTAGTTTTTTAAAGCCTATTTTTAAAAGGACCAACAGACCCGTGTTTTTATTAAAAATAATTTTTAAAGGAACAACAGACACGTAGTAATTTTTTTAAAGAGCCAAAAAAGCGTGGATTTTTTAAGAATATTTTTTAAAGGACTAACAGAGGTGTATTAATTTTTTTAAAGCGCCAAAATAAACGTAGGTTTTTTAGGAAGTGCCAAAAGGGGAGTGGAATATTTTTTTATAAAGGGTCAAGAAGAACGTGGATATTTTTTTAAAGCGTGAATTGGTTAAGAACATATATTTTAGGTGACCATTGAAGAGGTGGGTTATTGAAGAATATTTTTGGGAGTCTATCGGAAGAGGATTTTAAAGGAAGAACTATTTTTCAAGATTTTTTTTGTAGGAATATGTTTATATTTTTTAAGAATTATTAAAGGATTTTTTTCTAGATTTTATAAGGAAGTGTGGAGAATTTATAAGGAAGTGTGGGGAATATTTTTGGAAGTCTATCAGAAGAGGATTTTAAAGGAATATGTTTAAAATATTATTTTTATAGAAATTCGGGATTTTTCAAGAAATGTTTTTTCAAGATTTTTTTGTAGAGCCAAAAATATAAATATATTTTTAGGTGACCAGAATTATTAAAGGAATATTTTTGGGAGTCTATCGGAAGAGGATTTCAAAGGAAGAAATATTTTTTCAAAAATTTTTGTAGGAATATGTTTATATTTTTTAAGAATTATTAAAGGATTTTTTTCTAGATTTTATAAGGAAGTGTGGAGATTTTATAAGGAAGTGTGGGAGTCTATCGGAAGAGGATTTTAAAGGTATATGTTTAAATGATTATTTTTATAGAATTTCGGGATTTTTCAAGAAATGTTTTTTAAGGTTTTTTTTGTAGAAATATATTTATATTTTTTAAAGAATTATTAAAGGATTTTTTTCTAGATTTTATAAGGAAGTTTAAAGCGTTGATATCTTAAGAAATTTTTTTTTTCAAGATTTTATAAAAATTTTGAGGACTCAAAGTGTGGATTTTTAAATTAATATTTTTTTCAAATATGTTTTAAGGAATGTAGGAATATATTTATATTTTTTAAGAATTATTAAAGGAATATTTTTGGGAGCCTGTCGGAAGAGGATTTTAAAGGAATATGTTTAAAAGATTATTTTTATAGAATTTCGGGATTTTTCAATAAATATTTTTTCAAGATTTTTTTGTGGGAATATATTTATATATTTTTTTAAGAATTATTAAAGGATTTTTTTCTAGATTTTATAAGGAAGTGTGAAGTTTTTCAAGAGTTTATAAACATTTTGAGGACTCAAAGTGTGGATTTTTAAATTAATATTTTTTTCGGAATATGTTTTAAGGAATGTAGGAGCATTAAGCTTAATTTTTTTTGAAGATTTTGGGGATTCAAAAATTGGATTTTTTTTAGATTTTTCAAGGAATATTTTTTTTAAGATTTTATAAAGAATTTGGATATTTTTGAAGTGTGGATTTTTTATGGAATACAGGAGCTATAAGTTTCGATAATTAAAGATTTTTTTAAGTAATATATAGCAAGTAAGGAATATATTTCAAGATTTTATAAAAATTTTGATGACTCAAAGTGTGGATTTTTAAATTAATATTTTTTTCGGAATATGTTTTAAGGAATGTAGGAGCATTAAGCTTAACTTTTTTAAGATTTTATGAATTCAAAAATTGGATTTTTTCTAGATTTTTCAAGGAATATTTTTTAAATTTCAAGATTTTATAAAAATTTTGGACTCAAAGTGTGGATTTTTAAATGAATATATTTTTAAGGAATGTAGGATAATAAGCTTAATTTTTTTTGAAAATTTTGGGGATTCAAAAATTGGATTTTTTTCTAGATTTTTCAAGGAATATTTTTTTTTTCAAGATTTTATAAAGAATTTGGATATTTTTGAAGTGAAGGAAGGATAATGGAATACAGGAGCTATAAGTTTCGATAATTAAAGAAATTTTTTAAGGAATATATAGCAAGGTGATATTTTTGGAGGAAATTATTTTAAGGAATGTTAGAGCATAAAGCGTGATTTTTAAGGAATAGTTTTTAGTATTTTTCAAGAAATATATTTTTTAAGAATTTTGGAAGCTCTAATATTGATTTCTGATAAATGTCTTTTTACGAATATGCTGGGAATGTTTAATTTTGTTAGGAATATTTTATTTAGAAATTTTAATTTTCAAGCTCCTATGTTGGGATTTTTTGAGATATAAATTTTAAGAATTTTGGGAAAATAAAGCGAGGAATTTTGAAGGCATATTTGTCAGTGATTTGTTTAAAGAATTTAGAAGAATTTATTTTATTCTTTTTTGTATTTATAAAGACTTTATTTGAATTTTATTTTTTAAGAGGAGTTTACATTTTTTAGCGTCTTAAAGTTTTAAGGATCTTTTATGAAATATATTTGAACAATTTGAAACCTATACCAATATATATGGATATACGATAATTGCCAAATTTTAAACAAAATATACATTATGTTCTTGCACTGTTTATTACAGTACTAACATATAGTTGGTTTTTTGATGCAAAAAATAATTTTGGTTATCACATCCTTATTTTTCTCATTTAAAATACAATATAGCGTACTATCCATTAGTGACAATTTCGAAGCAATTTAACATTTTCTTTTTATCAGTTTTTTTTTATAAAAATCCAAATATTTGGCTTGAATTTTTTGTTTTTTGATTATTATTTAATATTATGGCAATGTTTTTTTTTTATTTTTTCAATATATGTCTATAGTTTATATCAGCAGGTTAATATATCTTTTATGAAGCGCCTTCTTCAGCATTACACATCGAATTGTGGGTTCTACTTATTTAAATTTTATAAATATTTTTTTGTTTTCAAAATATTTTCAGTTTTTTTTCCATTTTTTGTCATATTTCATATTATTTATAATTTTTGTATTTTAATTTTCACATTATTAAATTTTGAGTTTTTTTTATTTATATTCCACAATTGTCATTTATCATTTTATTATTTTTCGAATATTTTTTAAACATAAAAAATGTTTTTTTATTATTATTATTTTATTTTTTTAATAATTTATTGTGTATATCCAATATCACTTGAACGAACACCCACCAATAATTGTAGGGATCTCATATTTGTAATCCCCCCGCTATGTTGACGCGTTTAATGTGTATTTAGCACCAAATGTATGACTGCCTCTGTTGAGGTCTTCTAATATAACTACCCACATTTCACCACTGCAGATCTATTTATATTTTGGGAAGTGATCATTGTGTCGGGCTTTACGACGTCATGATCATCACAACAGACCCCCAAAACAGTCCGACAACGGCGAGCAACCAACCGAGCAGCATGGGCCATCATCATCATCATCACCACCACCATCAAGGTGGCTCACCAGCCAATGGAAACTAACAACAACAAATGCAGCAACAACACCGAAACTGAAAATGCCAAAATTACTTTTTGAACGAAAATGAAAACGAAACATCCGAACCATCAGCCCCTAGTACATGTTTGTATAAAAAGCTTGAATTCGGATTCCGAAAAACAAAAACCAAAACCCTCAACATATGCTCACTCTCAGTTTTAAACAAAAACACGCTCACACACATGTACAAACTCATTTTTTTGGCCGGTAAAAATGAGCGCCAAAACTACAAAACAAAAGGAAATGAAACTTAAATTGAAACACAGCTACGAATATATCAACAAACTATAAAGCTCTCAGCCAGCCGCAATGCAAAGCGAAACCAATATCATTGAGGTAGGTAACGAAACAACAAAACTTAACTGGCCGAAAGTGGCTCACACATACAATTGCATACACGGCATTCGTGATAAAGCAATTTTTGCTTAAGCTTAGCAATTTCAAAGATTAAACATCAATTCCATTTCATTTGGGATAGGTCAGGGGCAGCATACGGTTGTGTGATGATTGTATTTCGGTTTCAGTTTTTTTTTGTGTTTCGATAGTCTTAAATAAAGTTCTGCAACTGTTGTCATAAAAAGGATGTTATTGGATTGATTTAAAAAATAACAGATTTTGCATTATATAAAAAATAAATAAATGCGACTTAAATTACGAAGGTGAAATACAGTAGCAGAAAACAAAAAGTTATTATTGGAATGTCCGTTAAAAATTCTGATTCGAAGAAATCCAAATTGTGCAATTTCGAAATACTGAAAATTCTACTGTTTCAGATCATAGGTTTGGATTAAATGAATAGATGGAGTATTCCGATTAAAAATTATTGTATTTGTGGTATAAAATTATGGTACCTCCTTGTACTCTTTACTACTGAATGTCAGATGAGAGCCTTGCCATTATTGAATTAAATACCCAATATAATAAAGATATTGTTGGCAACCTCATACAGTATAATAACTTGAAATTAACGATTTTTGAAGTCTGAAAAACTTTTTCATTGGTTTGTGTTTTGACATTGTTCCATATAAGGGACCCGTCTCAAATGGTTGCAGTCGTATTTTTTATCGAATGAGTTAGGCATTTAGAATTCGTCCTGGGCCATAAAACATATTTACAGATTTTCAAAATCTATCCATGTTTTTGCCGATTTTATTTGTTTGCGTCCCTGGGAGCATTTCTCGCCATTATAAATTATTTGTGCGTAATTTTCCTGTCGAAGTTTCTATTATTCCGTATTTCGGGATGCCGAATAACATTTTTACCAAAAAATTAATATAGCGGATAGACCTCTTTTCTAAAGAGCAGTAATTCGGCAATCTGTGTTTTCGATGGGTAATTAAAACACAACATTTTTAAATTGTTGATCCATATTTTGGCGATTTGAGGTGATTTTGTGGCCGTGGGAGCATTTCTAAATTGAAATGTCCCCAACTTTGCAATCCGTGTTTGTTTGTGTGTAAAACTGTCATTCGAAAACAATTTTCAATGTAAGTCCATTTTTCGATATAGCTCTAATATAACGGAACTCCCGAATTCCCCGTTGTTTCCAACCAAAGTTTCTGTAATGTGGGATTTAGTCTCTGCCCTCTATGCATTTTAATTTTTCGTCTACACCAGGGCCAACTGTTAGGGATAAGTAAATCAACTTTGGACGAGTCGATGTCGACTTGATTTATTATCAAAAAACACAAATTGCCTAAAAATTACTCATTCTTGACAACAATTCGTATAATAAATCAATTTGACATTAGTCGGTAAAAGTCGAAAATCGAATTTGAACAGGTTTCACAAAATCGAAAGATCGAAAAGTTATTCATTATAAACCATTGAACGGAGCTGTACAGACGGAAGAGTCGATCTATTTTAACCCCTAAATATATGATCATCTCTGAAAATTACAGGGGTCGTGCTGACCATAACTTGTACTTCGTGTAAAATTTCAAATCGATCAGCGCAAAATATATGCCTTCTAGCGTAGTAATGGTATTTCGCGACGTTACCAACTTTTGGGGCTACACAATTTTGTGTCAATCTGACAAACATGAAGGACGAATATATATATGGAAGATATCCAAATCTGAACCTTTTTCAACGAAACTTGTCACAGGCTAAATTATACTAATTTCAGTAAGTTCATTTAATCATTTACTCAAAATCGGACGAAAATATATATGGGAGCTATATCTAAATCTGAATCGATTTTAACGAAACTTTACATACGGTAGGTTACAGTAACGCTAGTATGTTGTGCTTAATTTTGGGCCTTTGGTGCGCCATTTACATAAAATCGGGTGAAACTATATATGGCATCTATATCTAAATCTAAACCGATTTCAACAAAATGTCATGTTATAGTAACTTCAGTACGTTATGCAAAATTTTGTGCCAATCGTCTTAACTTGGAAATTTTACTTAAAATCGGACGAATCTTAATTAATTTTTCCTAATTAAAATAGAGTTCGTCCTTTGGCCAACTGAATGAGAATTGCCAAATTTCATTTAATTCGGATCATACTTTGTATCTGTCCTGTTCCTTGTTTACAGTTTAACATGCATTGAAATTTTTATCCCAGCAGATTATTTATCTTCGGAGCAAAGGAAATATGGGTGCAAAAATACCTAAGTGGGCCGTGACTTTTATATGGGAAATAGATCGATACATGGATCTATGCTGCAATATTTCGTTTTCATAACATTTAAATTGAGGATGGGACTTTTATATATGTCTATATAAAACTATTGGCCTCTATTGAATTTTTTTTTTTTGCCCACCAAAATCCGAGATGAAAAATTACAACCACAGCGTTTGGAAATATTTTAACTTAGTCTCCCGCGAATAAATTTAATTCACGTGTATTATGATAACCACGATATATTTATGGTATATATATATATATATATATATTTTAGAAGAATCCGACAGTTCTTCATAATTTTCAATTTAATTAAAATGTCATAAGGTTATCTGAACAAGGATCCGGTACAAGAGGTAAAGAACGATGAAAACATGCGAATATCTATTTCTTGTTTTTGGGGACCCTATCAAAAATATTTTGAGCAAAATTTTTTAGAATATTTGTAGGCCATAAAAGCTCATCTTGTCACGGTTCAAGAAAATAGGGATAAAAAAATGCATAATGACTGGATACTTTATAGGGAATAAAATGATTACATCCTGATCTAATAAACAACGTAACCTAATGAAAGAGTTAATATACTCATCATTATTTTGGAGTACATCATGGGAATCTTCTGGAATCATAACTATATTATCGCCATTAACAAAAATACCTAATGTGGCACGGTGTAATTGATAACTGAAATATTTAACACTTTTAAAAGTATGTCAGTCCATTTTTTTTCGATTTAATAGCTTAATCCCATGTGAAAACAAATGTAAACCAGTGAATGAATGAACCACTAGTTTTGAAGACAATTCCAAAAAATAAAGAAGCGGGAGTATTTTTAAGCTTGTATTTCCTTTTGGATATTTTTTCTTTCTACACATTTATTTCATATTTCATTGTCTTTACCACCACAATTAATGATCATTAATCATATGTATTTGTTGGGTATGCATGTATGAGTATGTTTGTATGAGTTATGTTGACTGAAGTTCATTAAAGTACTCATTCGGACATGGTAGTTGCGAGTTGATGATTGTTTTGTTGAAATTTGCTTGTCGACGAACGGGCGAACGACATTGAGTGTTGAAGTTTTTATTTCAAAGCTGACACTAACCTACCTCAAATTATGTTTTGGTAGACCCACGAACATATTACAAATTTTATTGAAATACTGTAAACGAATGTATTATTTTTTTTTGTTGCATTGTGCGTGAAGGGTGTTTTATTTTGTAAGTTTTGTATGCATGTAAAAAGTAATGTTTGCATCTTATCTGTCCACCCATCGATCATCGGGATGTCATACTCCAGCAAAAGATTACATTTGGTAAATGAAATTAAATAATATTTAAATTAAATGTTTGCACAGAAATGGAGTGAGGGGCTTTTGTTGTGGAATACAATTTTAATAAAAAAGTGAGTTGTATTAACATTTGTTAATATGTAAATATGTGTTAGTATAAAAAATATATACCTGAAATTATGTTGTTCAGTGGGGAGAACATTTGGAGTGCTAGTATATTCCCTAATTAACCTTACATAAAAATTCCGAATTGACAGTATTTTGACATTTTGGCATTACAAACAAATATATGCATAGAAGTTGTTTGTTGAACGAAAAAATTGTGCATAATTATAATTGATTCAGTACGTTGTGTCAATCAGCCTGGACAAAACAGCTTTTCACCATATTTAAAAGAGTATATATATATATATATATATAGGAGGTGTATGTATATCTGGACGATTTTCACAAGAAATTTTTGACATAAAAAGTTTAAATGAATTAAGCCCACGGGCTTAAAAATAGATTTTTATATATGGCCGTTGTTAAGCGTTCGCTTAACTAACACGTGTGAAAATATATACGGATAACCTATAAATCCGAATTTGAACAGATTTTCAAACAGCTGCGCATATATTTTTAGATTTCATGTAAATTTAGTAACAAAAGAAGATGCTTCAAAATGTGACTCCTTCACAGTAGAAGAGTTCACTGATACACAAGGCTTAGAAAGTCTGAATATTGTGGAGCTATATCTTAAATTTGAACCGATTTCAACCTGTAAAACACAAACCGCCATCTATGGATAAAGTCAAATTCGTAGCTTAAGCTACACATGGAGACATGGCTCTGAACATTCTAACACCAAATAGAA